CACCTGTGCGCTATACTGACACCTACTGGTCCAGATGCTTTAAGTGTATTCATTTCTGAGATTTCTTGCCAGAGCTTTATTTTGCTGTGTTGTTGGTGGAAAGCAGTTGGCTTCTGCATTACACTATAAACAGTCTAGCTGTTGATTGAGTGCTTGAAGTCCCAGCATATGTCTTGATTATTATGGTTAGTAATGTAGCTGGTCAATTACATGACAGGGCTGGTCATGTGATGTTGACCTGATTCTGTCCATAAGGGGGCGACCTGCTCATTGTAGAACAGTGGTTCTCAATCATTTTGACTCCTCCATTGTCCACAACTATTTTTAGCCCTATTGCTTTCCCAGTTTTTGATTTACTGCATAAGGATTTAAATATGTTTGACAAATTTTTACCATGTTTTTTATTTTTACATTTTCTACTCCAATTATTTTAGAGCTTGGCATAAAAATTATGTTCAAAAATGCCTACTTTTAAAAATAACCTTCCACATATATCAAGATTTTTCAAGACTGTGAGATTTAAAATAAGAAATACCTTGATCTTTTTGTTGTTTTAGTGTAATATTTTTAATAGTCGTTTTAGTTTAATATTAGTTTTGTCTTATTTTAAATCATTTCAAGTCGTCTTAAGGCCCCCAAGAAGCTTGCCATGGTCCCCTGATTGAAAACTACTTTTGAAGAATAAAATAATTTTTTCTCGAAGACTCAAATATCTTCATGTCATGTCAGTATAAATCATTTTGCTCAAAGGTGTTGTTTATTTCTTTAGTGTTAAACTTTGCTTTTCATTGGCAGAAAAGATTGAGTGCCGCTTTAAACCCATGTCATGAAGCTCTTGACAAGCATCTTTTCAGCCATTGCTTTTGGAACGGCATAGAGAGTGTTTTAAATGAGGGCACGTGATATTTACACTCTGAGATCTCGGTCCTGTCCTGTGAGCATGTGTGGTCTACAGTTTCACTGTTGTTGCTCTACATCACACATACAGCAGTTCAGGGCAAGAATTTAATGAATCCAAAAGTGTATCAAGTGTTCTACTGGCACTGTTTGACTAAAAGATTGTATGACTGTGTACAAATAATGCACCCACATGGCCCCCAGGAAGTATTTGGACTCTTGAGAAACATTTAAGTGTTCGAGAATCGTTGCATTAGACACAAAATATTGCTTTTCTCAGAATTAGTTGTTGCTTTTAGCTAACTGGTCTCAAGGTGAGTTTTAGTTGGTGTGAGAAGTCAGTTAATTTCATTCACCCAGGCGACTCACTGTAGTTCATCACATTTTTATCATATATTAAACATGTTCCACTAACATTTGACAACCACTAAGTGTTTGAGCAGTGACGTTTATTGTATTGAACTCATAACACTTTAAACTTGAAACATTTTGCTTAAAAATAGTACTTGAGGACTATTTTAAAGAAAGAAAAATCAAACGTTTTGCTTAAAATGAGAACTATGTGCTATCGTTCTTAAAAATAGTTTAATGTTATAAATGCGTATAAATTGATTTGATATTTTCTTACCTAATGCATTTACATTCATAACACTGTGTCGCCAAGCACTTTTTAGGGCCAACAATAATGTAATCTACCAAATCCACCAATTCAGACATGCGGACACTACTATTGTTTGTTCTGTTGCTGCAGTGGGCCTGTGCTCTCATTGGCTGTGACCTCGAGTGGCGAGCAGTGTTTTAGTGGTGGAATTGATTCAACAATACAGTGGTGGAACATCCCCAGCTCTAATGTAGACCCTTACGACACATATGGTGAGAAGATCAAATCTATATGACTGTTACATTTTGTCATTTTGATAGAACTTAAAAGTAGGAAACCTGCCTGATCAATAGTATCTTCTCTATGTGTGTCCTCTCTTTCACTCAGATCCCAGCGTGTTGGCTGGTACGTTGTTGGGTCACAGTGACGCAGTGTGGGGATTGGCTTACAGTGGAATCAAAAACCGGCTGCTCTCCTGTTCAGCTGATGGGACGATCAAGCTGTGGAACCCTCAGAAGTCACCGTGTCTCAGCACATTTAACTCCGATAGAGGTGAGTGTGAAGTATCTTGTATGCAGTATTCTGTAATCGATCGACATGTTGGCAAACTAATTTCTGTTTTTCAGATCATGGTGTTCCCACATCAATTGATTTCAATGGGTGTGATCCAGCTCATATGGTGGCATCCTACAACACGGGAGATGTCGTTGTTTATGATCTAGAGACATCACAGCCCGTCTTGGTATTGTCTGCACAGGGAGAGAGCAGTACGTCCTTCACATTTGTTCTAAAAAAGTGCCCTTGTGGAAATGTGATATAATGTTTATATATAGTTCAGTAATTAAATTACAGGGGTGTGAGAATTGGATTTGTGATGTTTACTTTCTTCTGCATTGTTGCAGCTATTCCTTTTGGGAATCACATTAATAAAGTAGTCACCCACCCCACCCTGCCAATCACAGTCACCGCTCACGAGGATAGACACATCAAATTCTTTGATAATAAATCAGGTGGGTTTTTTATTGTATCATTAATATATTATATATCCATACACTACTGTTCACAAGTTTGGTGTCAGTATGATTTTTATAATGTTTTTCAAAGAAGTCTATGTTCACATTTATGTGATCAAAAATATGGTAAAACAGTAATATTGTGAAATATTATTACAATTTAAAATAACTGTTTTCTGTTCTAATATTTTTTAAAATGTCATGTTTTAAAGGTGAAGATACTTCAGTCTTTAGTGTCTCTCAAAAATTATTCTAAAATGCTGATTTGATGCTCAAGTATTATTATCACAGTTTAAAAAAAAATGCTGCTTAATATTTTTGTATAAACTGTGATTGATACGTTTTTTGATGAATAGAAAGTTCAAGAGAACAGCATTCATTTGAGAAAGAAATCTTGTGGAACATTATAAATTCTGATCAATTTAATGCATCCTTGCTGAATAGGAGTACTAAAAAAAGACTACTGTGTGTCTGAATTTTATTGTTAATATTATGAATTATATTCATTCATATATATTCATAACTTATGTAACTTTATATTCTTATTTTGTTTGTTATTTATTTAAAATCTAAGAAAATATATCAGTGTTTTATTGGTACTATTTGTTCATGAAACATTTTTGTTCAGTTATATTTTGCCAGAAGTCACTAAGAGAAAAAGTAAGGATTGCTGAAGTTTCATGTCTGGGATTATTCATCACCTTCCATCTGTCTTTTTTGTAGGTCAAGCCATCCATGCAATGGTGGCTCACTTGGATGCTGTTACTAGTCTGGCTATAGATCCAAATGGCATCTACTTGATGTCAGGAAGTAAGTGTTTTTGTTTTTTTTCCTTCTACTCTTTACCCTTCATTTATCATTTATTGCATCGTTTATTGCATGTATACATTTATTACATGTATATATCTGCTGAAGAACGAAAGTCACAGAGATCTGGAAATAATGACAGAATTTAAATTTTGTACAAAACTATCCCTTTAAAAATGAACTCAATGTCTCTTCTTCATCTAACACAGGTCATGATAGTTCCATCCGCTTGTGGAACATGGACAGTAAGACGTGCGTACAGGAGGTTACCGCGCACAGGAAAAAGTCAGACGAGGCCATATACGATGTTGCCTTCCACCCATCTAAGGCATACATAGGAAGTGCCGGAGCTGATGCCCTGGCCAAAGTGTTTGTATAAAAGAACATCCGAATGAATGCATACGTGAAGACAAGAGAAAGAAAGGACTGCTTCACTGCCTTGTGTAACAAGAGTAGCATTTCTCACACTACACTGAAGTGGCTTCCACCTTCGCTGTCAAACTCACACCACACACACAACATTACCAGGTGCCAAGAGGGGGGCGTGCAGTGTGAAGCCAGTGTGGAGTGCTCAATCAGTTTTAATCTTTTTTTTTTTCTCCTCAAAAAAAAAAAGAAAAGAAAAATTAACTGTAATTTACTGTAAGTCAAAGCTGGAGTGAAACCAGTGTTTGTAGCCTTTTGACTGGTTTTGAACTGAGCTGATAATGTGTCCTGTAGGTATGTTTCAGTGACCATGGAGTGGTTATCATGTTCATCCATAAGTAGGTTGTCACCGACCATCATCCTGGCACCAGAGGAACTGAGTCCCGCCCTGCCGAGCCATAAACCAGACCCTAATCTCAGTTACCCTCCTCGCCCTAATGTAGCGTGCAAATACAGTTAAACTCAGTCAACCTTCATACCTTTAGCATTTGTTCCATTTTTTTGTGTAAAAAAAAAAAAGTATAGTTTTTATAATCAATTTTATATAAATAAAGACTGTAATAAACCCGCTGAAAATCACATTTTTTAAAGGGACTATAATCCCACTCAAGCCCTCCATTTTATGCGGTTCTCTTTCATGAAGGTCTTGTGTCTCTGGAAACCCTGGATGAGTGCATACTACATTGCTATATCATTGTTTTATCACATAACGGAGAGACTATACGCTAGTAGAAGCACAGCGCGTGATGCCCTGAGAGCTTTTAGGAATTTACAAATAAACTGCAGCATCCTGTCACTATGTGATGTTTCTGTACACCTTACTGTAAAATGAGTTTGAGTATCACAGGTTAGAGATCCGAACGCTATTTATTTTCAGTTTGTGGATAGTCTTACCCTTTGTTCAGAGCATAGCTTGATGGTAACTCAAAGATTGGGCTGTTGCTAACCATACCGAACAGGTTATCTGATAGGAAATTAGCGTACATGGGTTCATATAAAAGCTCTGTTGTTGGCTGAAAACGGGGTTTAAATTCACCTCCTGATGCTGGAGATCAGGGGAGAAATGATAAGTTAAAGGGATAGTTCACCCCAAAATAAAAAAATCTGTCATCGTTTACTCCCCCTCGTGTCCTTACAGACCTGTATAACGAACATGAACGCTATTTTGAGAAATGAAATGGAACTCAATGGTCACCAAAACTCATCTTGTGTTCTGCAAAAGAACGATAACCATACAGGTTTAGAATGACATGAGGGCGAGTAAATTATAGAACTTTCATTTTTTTGGGATTGGAGTTGTCAATCAAATGTATTCTAAATATTTGGTTTGGTCGTTCTACCCCAATCTGTTCAATGATTTTTAAAGGACATAATGCCGTTTATGGTGTAACAAAAGACCTTTTGTTTGTGTAATGCATGATTAATACTACAATAAAGTATTTTTTCTAGTCTTCCAAAAGTTCTGATCAGTTTGAAGAGTTTTGTAAGGTTTTTGATTTACTATGAATCAACAGATTTTAAAGATTGTACCACATAGCAAAACAACTGTTGAAAAGTAATGTATATAAAATGTCTATAATAAATATTAAATGGTGTATCTGTATATGCAACATGCCCCGTGTCTCGACAATTAATGCAGCGTTGTATTTTGACGGGTAGTTGATGACGAATGATTGCCAGGATTCACGATTTCAATACAGATGTTTGTACTGAGAAAGACTCAGAGAGAACAAAAGGCTTAGCCTGTTCAGCTGAGGATGTTCAGCTGGTTCAGTTGTACAAACCCCTTGTTCTTTATTGAGAAGAAAGTAATAAATTATAAACAAATGTACAAACAATTTGATGCCCCTCCTCCCAATCTGTTTTCATTAGCCTACGTGAGGCAGTAAAGCATGCATATGGAAAGGTACAAAGAAAATAGGTTCGATAAATACATGAAAGTATAATTTAAGAAAAGAAAAGAAAAATGCTATATAATCAAAACATTAACTTTACAACCGTAATCTTCATCGCACACTCAGACATACGTGCTTCATTGTGAAAATGTGACGTTGTGAATGTACTACAGTGCATGTATATTGTTTGCTACCCCTGGGAAGAACTATTATTTTATTATAGAACCCAGATTTATTTATGCTATTGTGTGAGTGAAAGCTGTGTATTTGTGTGCTGCCATCAGAACGCATAAGAGGGCGCTGTTTCACTGACGATCCTCTTCATGGCTGCTTTTGCTTACCATCTTGTGCATTACCTTGCATAACTGCAATAGAATCTTCAAGTCCCGAAATTAATATAAAAGAGCCTTTTGGTACAGTGACTCCTCCACAGGAAAAAAAAAAAAAGACCTGCCTGAAGCAGCGAAAGAACGTTTTTTCACCAGGAACATAAAGAGAAAGACTATAAATCACAAATAATTACATTCTCCACATTATAGAGAGGTTGACATACAATACTGTGTGATACATTCTCAATTAAGCTGTAAACTCCTTTGGATCAAACATACCAATACCTTTATAACAAAACCGTTCAAATCGCTTTTTCTACAAAGTGATTTTTCTTATTCACTCGTGCCCGTTTTTCTTCTTCCTTTTCTTGTACTTAAGCAGTCGCACTGTCTAGTTGAACTCTGTGAAGTCCCTGCAGATGCCCCGTACGATGGGCTGCTGGAACTGCGCCAGGCCGGTGAACTCACGAGTGAAAAACACATGGCTTTCCTTGGGCTCGGACGCCATTGCCTTCAGATCTTCCATCGGAGCCCAAGCTACGCCCACTGCATACACAGTGATTCCTGTGAAGAAACAAGAAGCACATGGTCAACATCACACTTGTTTACTTTGTGAATGCACTATTGATATTTTGTGCATTAGAGATAAAGTACTTTTTAGAGCTCTTAAATGTTCTAGATCAACTGTTTTTAACCTTTACAGACCCAGGAACCTACACTCTTACCACCTCAGGGACCTTCACTATAAAAATCAGGCTAGATTTTGTTGGTAACACTTAATTATGGGGGTTGAAAACCTAGGTTCTAGATGGAATGTCAGTGTAAAAAACGTACCCTCCCTCTGGGCGGCCATAGCTGGCCCTCTCACATCATCATAAGACTGTCCATCAGTGATGATGATGAGGAAATTCTTGTTGGAGCCTGTGCGGGGTTTAAAGAGACTCCGCACGGCAAAATTGATGGCGTCTCCAGTGGCCGTTCCTCCACTCATGTACGGGATGTTCTGCAGGGCCCTCAGAGCATTATCTTTTGTGGTGTGCTCATTGAAGTTGAACTCCATCCTTTGGTCGTAGGTGAACTGAATGGCACCGATGCGAGATCCAATGTCAGAGATGTCAAAGTTGCGTGCGATAGAGAGAAGAAGGTCCAGCACTAGCCGAAAGTTCCCATCACCTACACTGCTGGAGCCATCAATCAGGAAGCCCAGGTTCACTGAGTTATAGCATGTCTTGCTGCAGAGCATCTGATCAATGGAGCAAAGTTTATGAGCTAGTGGCTTCACAAACTTGTTGGTGCCGAACCAGCTGGGCATGGTGAATGAGAAGAACTCATTGTCCTTGCACACTGCCTGTGAGATATATGTCGGTATAAATGGATTTCAGCAAACTCATATGCTTCCACTGAAGATTTGTGTTTTTTCCACCATGAATTCATATGTGAAACATCTTACCTTTCTCATGAAGTCTTGCTCGCTCACCAGGCTCATCTCCTCAGGGGCAGGTTTGGCGACAGACACAAAGAAGATGTTAATACCAGACTCTCTGGCTAAAATTGCTGCCTCCTCCACATTATCAGAAGGCCACCCATCGACAAACACCACAATGATCCGTGGGTAACCTCTCCGAACACCAAAATCCGGATTGAAGAAGTTCCTCACAGTGTGCAGTATGGCCTTACCTGTGCAAAAGGCAATAACTCAAGCCTGTCAAGTTCTGCTTATTTAAGCCAAAGCACTTGTGTCACAGATCCGTGACATGCTGTCAATTATTAAACAAAAGCATATTGACTGTAAAAACTAGGGGGAAAAAATGCATTTACAATAATGCATTGGGCCAAGGCATTTTGAAGAGTTTCAAAGCACAAATGTGAAAATGTTTGCATGCTACATTGTTATACAACTGGGTAGCAACAAGTGACTCTTTTTGAGTCATTGATTAATTTATTCAACCAGTTCTACAAAACTTGATTCCTTCAGGGGCAAAACAAATGACTGACTTTGAGTAACAGAATCATTCACTCAAACTATTTGTTTAAAACAACAACAAAAAAGAGCTCTTTCATTCAGGAATGTAACAAGTTTATGACAGAGTTATTGAATCATACATTCAACCAATTAATTCAAAACACTGATGTGTGTTTTTCAGAGATGCGCAAATGCTGTGGCTTCGTTTGGAACTATTTTCATTCCCAGAAATAGGCAAAGTCACTGGTAACACTGAAAACAGGGTTTTCCTTTCATGGTGACTTGAAATGTTTGAAGAGATAGTTCACCCCAACATGAAATTCTGTTATCATTTACTCACCTTCAAGTTGTTCCAAACCTGTATGAATTTCCTTCTTCTGTTAAACATAAAATAAGATATTTTGAAGAATGTGGGTAAGCAAATAGTAACTGGTCCCCACTGACTTCCATAGCATGGAAAATCAATGGGAAAATATTTTGTTCATCAGAAGAAAGAAATTCAACTTGAATGTAAGTAAATGATGACAGAATTTTCATCTTTGGATGAACTCTCTTTTAAGTCTAGTAGTTGTACTTTCAAACTATGTATTTTAACGTATTCTGGGGACCTACTGATTTCCATTGTAAGTGCATTACAGTAAATGGCAATTTCTTTTGTTTTATTTATTTATTACTTTTCCAAAAAAAAAAAATATAATAGCATGATTTTATTGAGATGCTCTATATTCATTTCATCCAATCATTCATTTGAAATGTGAATTGAAGTTGAGGTTATAAACCTGTATTGGTATTGCCCCCAATGTATGGGATCTCTTTGATGGCAAACGTCAGATCTTTGGCTGTTGTATAGTTTGACAAGTAGAATTCAGTTCGAGGTGCCTCACTGGAAAGACAAAGATGAAGTTATACTCGCTGACAAAGAAACAAATGCTAAACAACTGTGACAAACAACTTGGATTTGCGCAGATCACCTGGTTTGCACCACTCCTACATGAGGACCTGGTGTTCCAACCTTCAGCATGGCTACAAGCTTACTGACAAAGTTCTTCTGCAGGTTGAAGCGCCGCTGTCCAATATTGTAGCTGCTATCCAGCAGCAAAGCCATATCGACTGGGCAATCTGGAACAACATTTACACAGCTCTTTCATGTCACAATCATATTTGGTTTGACTAACAATTTAAATTAGATTGGAAAATCAGGTCATACAGACCCCTGTTTGCTGTTGTTGTTGGAGGAGGCTTCTTCGCTGTCTTTTTGACTGGTTTCTTGGCTGCAAGGGAGAAGTATGGATACTCAGTGTAGACTACATATGTCAATTATTTTCAGTTTTCTGAATGCTTGTTACCTGCTCCTGATGCAACGGTGGCAGAACTGCTGGTTTGGCTGGACACTTCCAAAGGCAAGCTAATTGTTCCTGAGAAAAAGACAAAAATGTAACCTGACAAATCTGTATTGATAAACAACTTTAATTCACTTTTATATTATATTTCGTTTTATATGCTATATCATTTATATAGACCAACTGACCTCACTTTTCCTAATGTTACGACCTAGTTGTTCTTATTGAGATTAGTAGTAGCACATCTTTTTGAAGTTGAGTGTATTCAAGAACAATGTACAGTATTATGATATTCTGAGTACACTAATTCTAATATGTGACCCTGGACCACAAAACCAGTCTTAAGTCGCTGGGGTATATTTTTAGCAATAGCCAAAAAAACATTGTATGGGTCAAAATTATCGATTTTTCTTTTATGCCAAAAATCATTAGGATATTAAGTAAAGATCATGTTCCATGAAGATATTTTGTAAATGTCCTACCGTAAATATATCAAAACTTAATTTTTGATTAGTAATATGCATTGCCAAGAACTTAATTTGGACAACTTTAAAGGCAATTTTCTCAATATTTTGATTTTTTTTGCACCCTCAGATTCCAGATTTTCAAATAGTTGTATCTCGGCCAAATATGATCCGATCCTAACAAAACCATACATCAATGGAAAGCTTATTTATTCAGCTTTCAGATGATGTATAAATCTCAATTTCAGAAAATTGACCCTTATGACTGGTTTTGTGGTCCAGGGTCACATATTATTGTTATAATTTAATATTTATTGAAATTATATTGTAAATTCTAAAATTACATTTGTATTTTTGACAGTGTGCAGAGCGAGTGAGTAAACAAACATCTGTAAACAAATCTACAAATTCTAAATCAAAACACTAGCATTTGTAATAATGCAAAACATAATTGTCTCCACTCACTGGCCACAGTGAAAGATGAGCTCCATTGGGACAGGGACTGAGACTGGATGCCATGAGCATAAGAGCTGAGGTAGTTTGTCCTCCCTTGCAGTCCGTGAACCTCCACAGGTCCACCAGATAGACTTATGATTCCTCTGGAAGACAGACAAAAACTTTCTTACACAATTCTAGCAAGTCACTAACTTAATCATTATTTCTGTGATTGTACCTGTGTATTGCTGCTCCACATATGCTGGAAACAGAGGCATATACTCCTGAACCAAACACTGACAGACTCCAGAGAGTGCAGTTTGCTGGGCAGAGCACTCTCTTACGTGTGTCTGGTAGGTCCACCGCACGAGTTCCACAGCTAATTGGTGTCGGAACTAAGAAATGTACAACAGATATTACCCGTAATAAAATGATTATATATCTGTCAAATAAAACAAATGTTACAAAATATGTTTAAATGATTTTCCCCAAAAGTTCTCCAAAAATCAACTACATATAAAACAATTAAAAAGTTACATAAAACTGTAAATAAAGTGGCCCTAACCTTTTAAAAATATATTTCCAAAAGAAAAAAAAAATAGTTAGCTAAATATTTTCTATAATGTAACTCAATTCATTATATTTAATATGAAAAGAGTAAGAGAGAGAAAGAATGAAAAATGGAATTCACTGACCATTTAAATCCGATCCAAAAGTGCAACAGGTCAAAGACAGAATACCTGTAAAAAAATAAAAATAAATAAAGGCAATGACATCTTTTCATCATGGCAATAATTCAGATTAAGACACAAGAAATGTTCGGTAACAATCACTTTGAAGAAACTAACTGCCTACCTAAAACATGAAGTACAGCAAACCACATCGACATGGTTAATGAAGATCTCTGTAGAGACAAAAGAACATCATACCAGGCGACTATGAATAAACCCCATTTTTCAATCATTTTTATAAAGGTTTTTTTTTCTTCTAAAAAAATCTAAATCTTCTAAGGCTTTAAAATGTATCTTCATTTTTTTATTTTATCTGGGTGTTGTAATATTTATTTTGCGCACAGAAGTGAAATCAGATATGATACAGGAAAAAATGCAATCTCCCCAGACACATCCATCACAAACAGCTCCTTTGGAACTGCATACTTCAGTTAATCCGCTCATGAATGAGGGAGAAGGAGAGAGAGAGAGAAAGAATGGAGAAGAAAAAAAGATGCATATCTGGATATATAAAACTAGCTTTATTAAAATGCACCAAACAGCCAAAAATCAGCAACCCATGAAGATTAAATCCAACTTACAGATATTGTGTAGGATGACGTTTCCTCAGCCTTAAAAGCTTTATAGAAAAAAACTAATAAAGTAATTCCGTTATGGATGATATTCCAGAGGTGTCTGAATAGTGAGGAAAGAGCTAGTCCTTTAAATAATGTCCCCAAAACCCCCAATGATTCTCTGCTGACATCACAAGAGGCGGGCCTTACATCCAAACCACCTGAAAAGGACATTGTTTTAAATTCTCCTGCTTTTCAGCCATTTAGATATAGGCCTAATATGTACTACAGTTTGTACCCATATAATATCTATATGCTTTAACACTGTGTAACTTGTGTAGCCTAGTTTAGTCAGTGATGGCGTGTAAAGAGGGCTACAGAGAGGAGAATAAACAACAAATGAACGTCACCATGGCATGCACACGTCATGACTAGGCCCTGACTGGGGTTGAAAACATGAGGATAAAGAGGTGAAATCAGTGCTACACATATAATCTAAACACACAATCTCATTCAAAATGGTCTGAATGGACCTCAGAGCCATTTGAGAAGTCCTGACTAAACAGAATAGAGACTTATGACTTTCAAAAGACTTAAACAAGACCTCTGCATCAAAACACCTCTTGAACAAGGCTTATGCTGCAAAAACTGTAAATCATTCATGAATTGTATTTATCTTCAGTATACAGAGAGTGCTTAGCATGTGAAAGGACGGACAATTGGGTGCATTAGCATGAGACTGTCCTGCTTTCGAAGAGGTCCCTGTCTTCTAACTTAACTTTTATGTAATCATCCTACATCAGCCGAACTGTGGACCATTTCCAGGTTTAATCCTGGCAGCAAACAGGAATATGATAGGTTCGTGTTTACTGTGGCATCTCACAACTCATTGGCATTTACTGATTGAGTGCTGTGGATGTTTGTAGGGGTACGTGGTGTGCTACAAGGTGCTTATTCAGTGCGACAAATTAAAAACCTCTCATGGAATGACACTCAATCCATCTGTTATGAGCCTCTTTGAACAACTGCTCAGTGTAACAACTGGGAACTGTCCCAGTGTCTCAATTAATGAATTTTTCACGGAACACAAAGTCTATGTCGTCTAAAGCGGTCTTTCACAAGAAAATTATTGTGAAGGTCATGGTGGAAACATCAAACCTTTCAACCAGCAGTTTAAGAAGCTTATTGATGTTGTGCCAAACTGGAACAAGAAACGGTGGACTGGTACTTTAGATTGTGGATAGAAGTAAACAAAGGCACAATCAGGTGGTCGGTAATAAGGTATAAATAAGTAATGAAGCATAATATGTGAATGTTAATGCAACATATAGGCAGTTATTCCAAATATACAGACAATTATTTACATTAAATTAAATTAAATATTTTCATATATATTCTATATTCAAACACTACCGTTCAAAAGTTTGGGGTCAGTACGATTTTTTTTTTAAATTAAATTAATACTTTTATTCAGGAAGGACGCATTAATTTCAACAAAACTTAATGCTAAAAGTTAATTGATTTAAAAGTTAATGAGTAAACAAAGGCACAATCAGGTGGTCGGTAATAAGGTATAAATAAGTAATGAAGCATAATATGTGAATGTTAATGCAACATATAGGCAGTTATTCCAAATATACAGACAATTATTTACATTAAATTAAATTTAATATTTTCATATATATTCTATATTCAAACACTACCGTTCAAAAGTTTGGGGTCAGTATGATTTTTTTTTTTAATTAAATTAATACTTTTATTCAGGAAGGACGCATTAATTTGATCAAAACTTAATGCTAAAAGTTAATTGATTTAAAAGTTAATGTTACAAAAGATTTCTAATGCTGTTCTTTTGAACTTTCTATAGAATCATAAAAAAAAATTGGTTTCCACAAAATTATTAAGCAGCACAACTGTATTTAACATTGATAATAATAAGATAATTCATTATTTTATAAGATTTTTTTTTTTGAGCACCAAATCAGCATATTATATTAAAATGATTTCTGAAGGATCATGTCAGACTGAAGAAATAGCTGCTGAAAATTCAGCTTTGGCATCACAGGAATAAACTACATTTTAAAATATATTAAAGCAGAAAACTGTTATTTTAAATTGCAATTATATTTCACAATATTACTGTTTTTACTATATATATATATATATTTTTTTTTTGTAATTAAGTTGCTTGATTATTCTTTTTGCCTAAACGAAAGGAAATCATATTCATACCTTCTGCAAACCATGATTATGAAATATTATGGAAATTAAAATTGTATTTAGTTATAATTTTATTAAAATTAAATTTGTCATGGACATTTCTATAGTAAATAAAGATGTTGTTGCTGCTGTTGTTTTGTTTTAAATATACATTATGCTAGTTTTTACAACTATAT